TCACTAGTCTTACCATATCTGACTTACTGTGCTGAAATCTGGGGCAATAACTACAAAAGTTCAATACATTCAGTATCTATTCTACAAAAAAAAGCCATACGAATCATTCACAATGCCAAATATCTTGATCAGACTAACGCATTATTCCCGCAGTCAAAATTGTTAAAATGTACAGACCTGGTAGAATTCCAAACGGCACAAATCATGTTTAAGGCAAAAAATAACGTTTTACCAGGAAACATCCAAAAAGTATTCACTCAACGAGTGGGGGGATATAATTCAAGGAGACCATTTCAAATCAAAATTCATAGGGTCCTTACAACCAGAAGAACATTTTGTATCCCAGCCTGTGGAGTGAGACTATGGAACAGTGTGAACGTGGAGCTAAAGCGATGTCCAGACATTAACCAGTTCAAGAGGAAATACAGAGACATTATTTTCTCAAGGTACAGGGATGGGGAAGGTGTTTGACTGTATGTATCTATGTATATGTATAATGTGTATATATATATATATATATATATATATATATATATATATCTATATATATATATATATATATATATATATATATATGTATATAACAACAACAAGTAAAGCAGATTAATAATAATAATCACAATAATAATTAATAATAATAATAATGATAATTATTTTAGATAATAAATAATTTAGGGACAAGGGGGTGAGATTAAATAAATTATACTTCTTCTCACTGCTTTTCGAACACTAGATGTGGGACTGTTTATGTTGCTAATGCTGTTGTTGTTGTTGTTGTTGTAAATGTCACTTTGTTTTGTTTTGTCTTACATGACTGCAAAAAATGTTGTTTTGTAATTATTTATTTTACTTGTTCTAAATAAATGTATCAATCAATCAATCAATCACTGCATGACCTACCAGACCTCCCTTTTGCCTTTGCACACCTCTTTGGCCTACTGAAGTCAATGCACATTGATTATCCAACAGGGGGATATCCAGAGTTGTTTCTGTTTCTTTTCATTGTTTGTGCTCAGGTCAAACTTTGATGTATCGGCACACTTAAGCAGCCAATCATTTGAAGATATAATGTCATCTTTGCCTTTCAAAAAGACACTTGTGGTATTATCAGTATCTCATTTGACCAGCACCTCTATGTTCTGAAGTGGTTGAGGCCCAGTATAATTATTATTATTATATTCAGTCATGGAAAAACTTGGTTTGAGCACATAGTTCACTGTCAACAATATTTGAATGTCACAGCGGCAGCGCGCGTACACACAGTCACACACACACTTAATTTGTGCTGTACTTGAGACGAAACCTACAGCTAGTACTTTTACTGGGCTCCACAAGAGGAATGACACTTTAAAGCTAATTTTCATCAGTTTTTTCTTAATTTTATTTAATACAACTACAGCCATTCCTTGATTTATAAAGAAACAGTTGTATCAGACTGAAGCATTAACTATATGTTTATTTAACAAGTGTAACAGGACTGGGCAGACAAAGGGAAAAGTGGTAGTGCAGCAAACCAATAGTAGAGGCAGTGTTCAAATCCAAAAAAAGGCTTTATTGCTATCAAACTAAAAAATACCTTCCATTAAACAAAGGCTAACGTAGCCGGGCCGCTAACCGACTTACCAGCTTACCAAAACATTTCCTCACACTGGGGGTGTTTCTCAATCGCGAGTACGCTTGCTTGGTAGCACATGTCTGCCGAGCATCTTGCTTCAGAAGCGAGTCAAGAATACTTCCTGGCATTCGGAAAACGAAGTGTGGAACACGCTAGCAAGTGTGCAGGTGTGCGTCATATGAGAGGCCCCGCCTTACATCTTCCGCCACAGATTTGGGGAAATTGGTCCGTGCGCAAAGCATTGTGGGGATTTTAAGACCGCGAAGTCTACTCATGTGCAGACTCGATATTTCTCCAAACGGAGTACGCCGGGCTCGGTAGATTTCCAAGTATACTGGAGATTGGAACAGTACTTCGGCGGGACTCGATGACGTAGTATGCTTGAAATAGTGGCTCTGAAGCAGCTTTACTCGCGATTGAGAAACACCCCGGGAGCCTCCACCACCCTCCATGTGCCACACCCAACTGAGCAACTCTTCTTCTTCTTCTTCTCTTTTTAATGGCGGATCGCAAACAGCTTTTGAGTGTGTATCATCATGTCATCCCTCTAATAAACCAGCATATCGAAAACATAAAACTAAGAAACCATAAAATAAATAAAACAAAACAAAAACAAAAAACAAATCATCCATGATCTATTCTAACCTACTGTTAGATTATTTTCCCTATCCCAGTTTCCCTCAAAAAGGTGAACAGTGCCTTTCTGGTAGCTCTTACTCCTTCTCCTTCTGTTCCCAGAATACCAGCTACATTCCACTCCCTCTCTGCCTCTAAAACTTTATCCCTTAATTTTCCTCTTTCAACTCTATAGGTGACACAATGTAATAAAACATGTTCCACATTTTCCCTAACGCCACAGTTCTCACATTTGTCACTGTCACTTTTCCCCATGACATACAGCGTACCATTCAATGCAGTGTGATCCAGTCTGAGTCTAGCTATCATGATTTCCTCCCTTCTGTTTCTTTCTTTATAAATATTAATTGTGATTGTCTTTTGCACTTGATGATAGTCTTTGCCTTTCTGGTCTTTCTCCCATCTTTTCTGCCAGATCTCCATCCCTTTCTTCTTAATTACTGCTTTTCCTTCTCCTTTTCCAAGTTTAACTGGTAATGTGATTTCCTTTTGTAGTGCACTTTTTGCTAATCTATCAGCACACTCGTTCCCTTTCACCCCCTCATGCAGGCACCCAGCAGAACTGCAGATTTATGCCGCTTCTGTGAAGTCTTGACAGGCTGTGATTGATTTCTATGAGTATGTCTTCTCTGGCAGTTGTTGTTGACTGTATGCTTTGTAAACTGGATAATGAATCTGTGCATATCACCACCCTATCTGGTCTGACCTCTTCCACCCACTGTAATCCTATTGCTACTGCCAGCATTTCTGCTGTATGCACTGAAAGTTGGTCTGACGCTCTTTTTGATATCGATATTTTAAATTCTGGGATATATATACCAATTCCGACACACTCTTCCTTGTTCTTAGAACCATCTGTGTATATTTTGATGTAATTGTGATAATTACTCCTGAGGTACAAACTTGTTTTGAATCCTACTTCATTTATTTGCCACTCTCTTTTCTTTTCTACAATACTCACATCTATATTTGCTATCAACTGAGCAATTGGGGGTGTTTCTCAATTGCAAGTACGCTTGCTTGGTAGCACATGTCTGCCGAGCATCTTGCTTCAGAAGCGAGTCAAGAATACTTCCTGGCATTCGGAAAACAAAGAGTGGAACAGGCTAGCAAGTGTGCAGGTGTGCGTCATATGAGAGGCCTCGCCTTACATCTTCCGCCACATATTTGGGGAAATTGGTCCGTGCGCAAAGCATTGTGGGAATTTTTGTGCGGAGTCTACTCATGTGCAGCCTCGATATTTCTCCAAACGGAGTACGCCGGGCTCAGTAGATTTCCAAGTATGCTGGAGATTGGAACAGTACTTCGGCGGCACTCGATGACGTAGTATGCTTGAAATAGTGGCTCTGAAGCAGCTTTACTCATGATTGAGAAACACCCTCTGTGTGCTTTTTCTCCCTTGAGGGAGTGATTAGCACCAGGTGTGAGGTCTCCACACCTGCTCCCAATACTGCTAATTGGAAGAGGGTGGAGCCACCTGTTGGGAATGTAGGTGCCTCCCACTACCCTGCCTCTCAGCCCCTTACACAAGCGTATCTGTGTTTGTTGAAGATAGTAACACCTGAGGCCTGTACTACGAAGCCGGATTTTCGCTTAGCCGGCTGACTTCAGGTAAAACTCGGGCTTTCCGGTCCTACGACGCTGGTTCTCTTTTTAGCGGGCTAGATCTCCATGGTAACTTATGCTGAGCGGCTAACCTCCTCGGGAGGAGGTTAGGTTGCAGGCTAAGAGATCAACTCAGTGAAAGCACCGCCTGCTGACCAATCAGAGCTCCGTGTGCGGAGTTTAAAGCTATCAAGTCATATTACAGGATAGAGGAAATACAGAAAAACTGCCGTTGCAGGAAAGACGGCCGGCAAAAATCAACTGACTGTGTGAACGTGAAAATTAATAGAATATCCCCTCCCATCTTCAGAGCAATCTGACTATTATAACATTAGCGTTAAGATAGCTTACTTAAATATCTGCCACAACATAAGTAACCGGATCAGAGTAACATTAAGTACAGTCCGCGGCACTGTGAGTGCAGACGTCGATGTGTCCCATTATCATTCATATCATATCACATCATAATGTATCATATATTTCCTTATTTGAGTCAGCTTCTTGAGCCGTATCTGGCGTGCAACACTCACAGTGTCACATACTGTATGCAGAAGTATTATTTTAAGCAACACATTAAGTTGACGAAACACTCGAGTCAAATGTAATTAAAGTCATCGTGTCTTTGACGGGGCAGTGATATCATAAACCTGTTAATGTACGCATTCAAATGCTTTTTCTTTTACCAGCTGTATTCACCTTGCAGGTGCAGCTATGTGGCTTTTATCCTGGATAAAGTGTTTAAGTCATGGATGTTTAAAGTTTAACTTCTTCATATTTGACTAATATTAAAGTTCACTTTTCATTCAGGAAGTATGACGCTGCGCTGTCAGTACGCTTGTCCATGTTTGAGATTGGTCGAATGCTCCAAATACCACCCCTTTCATGTGAACGCGCACCTAACTAGATAGGACACGGCTGGCTTGAGCGATCCACTTGATAACCAGCGTCGTAGTACAGTTTAGCCAAAGCGCGTATGTTTTGGATTGGGCCAACCGGCTAACTCAAACATATCCAGGTTAGGTTGAACCAGCTTCGTAGTACAGGCCTCTGGCATTAAAAACACACACACTTTCATTGTTTGCCTGACAGGAATATCATAGTTCAGTAAACAAGAATGAACAATTTGAAAGAATTCAAAACACAGTTGCAGCTACATAATTGTTTTTATTGATTCGTAAAGAAAAGGTATAATCTCACTGAAGCATTTACTATATGATTATGATTATTCAACAACAGTATCAGTGTTTGTTGGAAGTAGAATATATATATATGTATGTGGCATTGAAACAAGAATGTCATTTTTAGCCTCACAGGAAAATCATAGTTCGGTGAACACGAAGGTCCAAGTTGTCTGAAATCTTGTATAAACTTGAAAACCTTAATAAAGTCAACAATAAAAGTGTACAGCTAAACAGGTTATTGAGCGCATGCACATGCAGAGACTGATCTGATCTTCATGGCTAAGGTCTTCAGGCCATAGTTCCAGCCCTTCCACGTACTCCAGATAACTTGAACGTTTCCATAATAGTTGACAAGCCCTTGAGGTGCGTACAGACCGGTGGGGTTGGCATAATGGCATGCGCTGTACCAGAATCCACCGAGATAACGCTGAGCGCAGTTACTCGGCCACGTGTCCTGATCTCTGTCAAATGTTGTGAACTTCATGTTGTTGTGGTTTGTCAAACTGTCCCCTAGAAATACAAAGAAAAACAAACAAACTTGAAACCCAGAAACACTTATTTCAATGCCAATGTGTGTCAGTGGGTAATATATTTGATTTTATGTTTTTATAAATGACTAAAAGAACAATAGGTACAGCACATTTATGCCTCTTAAATAGCGGTAGAATGTAACAGGGCACATTTGTATTTAAGTAGAATATTAAGGTACTTCTATTTTATGTAATTTAATAAAAGTTTTCTCACACGTCCAAATTGCAACACTTAAGTCCCCAGAAATACCCACCAAGTGTCACCAGACCAACCTTTCCTCACGCTATTTTTCATTACATTTTTAACAAATAATATATATAGAGAGGACATATTATGCTAGTTTTCAGGTTCATATTTGTATTTTGTGTCTCTTATGTGACTGTGACATGCTTTAATGTTCAAAAAGGTATTTATTTTTCTCAAACTGCCTGTGCTGCAGCACCTCTTTTCACCCTCTGTCTGAAACCAGAGCCCAGTCTGCTCTGATTGGATAGCTGGCTGGCACTGATTGTGATTTGTCAATGGCTTAGAGATACCCCGCCCCTTAGCCTATCACGTACAATGTGTCGGAAAGCTTGGTAATACAAGCAAGAGTGTTACGTAGTGATGTCACTATGTAACAGAAGTAAACAAAGGAGTCCAATGGAGGCGTGGGGGGAGTTTGTGGGAGAGAAACTCCCTTTGGAGGGAACACAGGGATGTTAGCCTTTGCAGGCCATTTACATGCACAAAATCCTATATACTGTATTTTTGGGACTATACTGTAAGTCACGTTTTTTTTACCTGTCTGGCCGGTCCTGCGACTTATACTCCGAAGCGACTTATATATTGAATTTGGTCTGACTGCGTTCAAACTCCGCTGTACCACCGAAAAAGAGGATGCGTCTCGTAACTTTCCAGGATGTTGTGGGATGGATCGACACAGCACGGGCTTCAGTGACGACCGACACCATCCTGTCGGGATTCAGAAAGGTCTCATTGGAGCTGATTCTGGTGGAGAGTCTGACGACAGCCCGGAGCAGGACATGCTGCTTCATCCACACCGGAGATGGCGGAAGTTTTTAACAGCGACTGTATAAATACAGTGAGAATTCCGAGTGGCTAAGCTTATTAGCGGCTAGGCTAATTAGCGTATCAGTATTATGTGCCGTAGCTCATTGTGTGGATTATTTTGTTTATTCAGCTCGTCAGTCGGGCAGTTAATAACAGTGTGCCATGTCTGTATTGTGTTTACAGTTTCACCAATTCATTAAACTTCAGTAAAGCTGACATCTGTGCCGGAGTTTCTTTGAAAGTGTTTGACTGGATGGATAGCTAGCTCGGTGATAGTGAGACCGGGGACGAAGACTTCAGTGGATAAATGTGATTTATACACCGAAGCGACTTATATGTGTTTTTTTTCTCTTAACGACACGTTTTTTTACAAGAGCGACTTATACTCAGGTGCGACTTGTAGTCCGGAAAATACGGTAACACACTACAGGAAAAGGAAAACCCCCCCCAAAACATAATAGGGACCCTTTAAACCTAGATTTAGTATTCCTTACCTGCGTTTCCGCCATTGAATTTGCCCAGGTGAAGCTGATAACCGTCATTCTCAGAATTGATGGAGAAGGAGGAGTACTTGGCGTCCGCCTTCCCCCCCTCCCAGTCCTCCATGTCGACCCGCAGCTCGTTCTCCTTCCACTGAGTCAGCAGGAAGATGATGTCCAGGCCTGAGGAGGCGCACAAAAGTATGTCTCAAATAATCTAGCCAGAATACAAAAATGTCAAAAGCTGTGTATTTTTGGTTTTGGATATTGCAAGTCTTAATAGCACCAAGAAAAACTGTATTATTTGTGTTTCTTCTTCCCTCTAAAACCCAATAACAGTCAGCAGCTAAAATATGTCTCTTGATGTTCTGGAGAAAATAACATTTGCTGTCAAAGTTAGCTGGCCAGCACTCCCAAATTAGGGAAGTAAACAGAGGAGTCCAATTAATGCGTTTCGGGGGAGGGAGTATGTGGGAGAGAAACTCCCTCTGGAGGGAACCTTGGGATATGAGCCTTTGCAGACCATTTAAATGCATAAAAACCTATATAACACACGACAGGAAAGGGAAAACCCCTAACAGCACAACAGGGCCCCTTTAAATGTAATTTTCCCTGCAAAAACTCACCAAGCCAATATTCTCCTGCTACATTCCCAAATCCTTTTTTATATTGACTCCATGGCCTGTAGAAGTTTTCAGTGCCATCCATCCTGATGAGAAATACCTGAGAGGGAGAATGGGATAAAGAGAAAGATTAACAGTTTAAAATAACATGTTATACTTTACATTAACCTCCTAAGCCCGATTTCCCCCAGCCACAAAACTGTGTCTCAGGGCTTCTTAACATTTAACAACCTATTAATGTGTCATACCCACTTAACGGGAAGAAACTCAGCTATCAGACAATATTAACAATTCTTAGCTAAACGAAACACAAGGGTAATACCAAGCCTCTGAATTAGCAAAAAGCGAAAAAATGCTTACGCACTTAGCACAGAACTCAGGGTAGAGATATGTTCTACTTCATGCTATCTGCACAAACTAGATATCGTGTGAAAACTGAGATTACACAGATTCCATTGGTATACGTTTCATTACTGTGCGACCAAAACTCACGGCAGCGAAGCCAGGAAAGACAACACACAACTTCACTTTACGGGGCCAAAACGGCAAATACGTCTTACCTTTGCTGTTTCTGATCAAAAGTTGTGTTCAAGGGCATTAAAACGCATATAAACGCTGCTGAAGGTTAATCCAATGTCTTTGTGTCACTTTGAAATTATTACTGATAATCCATCATAAGATTTATGGCAATAAACGTAGTTTTCATATAGTGTGTAATGAAGCTTTCGGTTTGGGCAAACTGCGTGCGCATCACTCTCACTCCTCAATGGTAATGTGTAGGTGGAATTAGGAACCCCCGCTTGATTCTATTGGCTCTAACGGTTAAAAAGTGGTGTCAATCATCAAAATCGACCAATGGGTTCCAGAAATATGGCAAATACACCCAAATGACCCCAGAGGTGGGTTTCTTTTTCTAAACCTCTCTAAAAAGGTCAAATGTCACTTTTTTTGCATCAATCTTGATACAGGGTACTCATTATATGTTATAGTTGGTATTCCTAAAGGTTTTTGTCTACTATCCCATCATTCAAGGGTGGTTTTCACTATAAGTAATGTTTTTTTCTTTGGACGGAAACTATAATTGAAATTGTTTTACTATGTTCAATCTGAATTTACTTTAAAATAAAAACATCTATATTGATTCTGACTTTTCTACATCCAACTCACAGGTGTATCATTGCTTTGAGAAAAAAGATTATTAATTTACTCCTTTTAGAAGTGAAGATATAGTCATTTGTTCTGGGCATGTCATTTTCGAGCCTGAGACCTGAAAAACAGGCTCAGGGCTTAACAGGTTAAACACGCAAGACCTCAGATAACTACATCTGAACAACTTTTAGGTGAATGTAAACAGGACTGTTATAATGTTGGTTCCCAGGTCAATTATGGAAATGTAAAAAATTCAAGCCAAATTATTTGTTATACTTAGAGGCAGCAGAAAAATCTGAAAGAACAACATCTGATGTTAAGATAAGTCATGAGTTCCCAAAGCAGGTTTACAAGGTCTAAAAAAAAGCACACAGTCTGATCAAATCTGATATACTGACCGTCCATCTGCCCCCGTCAGTCTTCATGTCACAGTAGACGGGAAGGGGAGCTGTGGGACCCCCGGGGAAGATGGTGTACACCCCACTGGAGCTGGTGTTGTCATGGCAATAGATGTCATTGCAGTCGATGGGCAGAAAATCCTTCGAGCCAGTGGGAGCTGAGGCTGAAAACCCCAGAAGAGCCACGAATAATGTCACCTGGATGCAAAAGAGAAGAGATTTTAAATACCTACAGCACCATTTGAAGTGATTTCCTGCACAGTTTTTAATGGTTATACATGAGTTTTTAATGGTTATTAAATTTGCTCAGAGTAGATCACGTTTGAGACAGCTCCAAATATTTATGCTATCATTGATTATCAGCAGAGGACAGAGACATTTAAATATATATATTTGTGTGTTTTCTTACCTGCAGCATCTTCATTGTTGAGAGGAAGGTCTACGCTGAGTTCACTCTGTTGTTTGAGGTGACTGTTGTTTGGAACGTAGGCATTTATACAGACGGTGTATCACGTGTTTTTGGAAGTGCATGACAAGTTGTGTTATTTTAAGGTTTATCAATGGTTGGTTGTATTAGATAGGCACATAGCCAATATATAAACAGGGAAGAAAAGGAAAGGCAAAAATGTAACCAGCATTCATTACTGGAATAGGTTGACGAACCTTGATAAACTGGATGTGACAGAAGGTACTAGAATGGAGAAAGACTTGTGACACTGGAGCAGGAGCCATTTTCAACAAAAAAAAAAGATTTGCCCACCTTCTAACAGTGCCACAGATTCTCGATGGGATGATATCTGGTCTTTGAGCCACTTTAGGACATTAACCTTTCTGTTGTTTAACTACTACTGTGTTGCCTCGGCCTTGTGCTTGGGATCATTGTTCTGCTAAAGGGTGAAGAAGAAGGTTCTCCCTGTATTGTGCTGTATCCATTCTTCTGAGATACTCAGTCCCTGCAGACGAAAAGCATGTCAACAGCATGATAGTGATAACGCCAAGTATTATGCAGAGCTCTCTAAAAGGTTTGCTGGTACACCTTCACTCCACGTTTAGCCACTGAACTCTGTAGCTCCTTGATTGTGATTGTTGGCTTCTGGTCTCAGTATTGCTTGTGTAGAATACTGTAATGCAGCTTCCACCTCTTTAGATTCTCAGTCGGAGCTATGATACTCAAACTATTGGAGGGTTTTACCCAGAAAATGAGAGCTATTCTAATGTTTCACAGGTGGGGCCAATTGTAGAGCCTACAGCGTCTTTGTTTGAGGAATAGTTTTCATTTGTGTCAACTTGTAGCTTCCAAAGCACTGGGGTTTTCTGTATACAAAACTAATTTCACATTGAAGGTCAGTCTTCTAAAATGAAATATCAGAACAAAATCCTAACGTTTTGATCCTTTGTAATCCAAACAAATCAGATAAGTTTCAAGTGGGTGAACACTGTTGCAAGTCAGTTTATGGACTAAAACTAATTACACAAACAAGGAATCTCTATCTGTGGACCCAAGGACCAAAAGCTACAAGTTTAATATTAATACGGTTTAAATAAACAATGAAATAACAATGGGAACTATCTGAGAAACTACTGTGAACAGACAAGGCCACACAGACTGAAGGAACAAAAGAGAAAGGTTGAACAGGGACAGGTGAATCTGATCAGGGCAGGTTATCGCAAAGCCGGGAAACACACCAGGAAATAAAATGAATAGATTGGACAAGGGCCCAGAATGTGACAAAAAAGCATTCAGTATTCTTTATTTGGAAGAAGTTGAATAAAACATTTTAAAAACAGCTTAAAATTCAATACAAATAAATAAAATATTGGGGAGTTTCACTCAGGATGTGACCTATAGAGATCATGTATATTCCAGTTATTGTAATAACTGATTATATATTTTAAATTTAAAATAAACTTAATTTCAACCAACACACCACCAACATCTTCAAAAGGAGCCAACAAAGATTATCCGTCATCCATAAACTCGAAGAACTGTACGTTTCCCCCCCTCTTCTCCGTCTGTACCAAAACAGTATCAATATGCTCACTGTCACCAACCAGACCAAACTCACACGCATCACCAACACTGCTGCCAGGGTGATTGGACTCCCTACACCCAACCTCACAGTGCTTAACAACAGGGCCATCTCACGCATAGCAACCACAACAGAACTGGACATCACACACCCACTCAATCAATTCCTCGCCAGTTTGGTATTTTGAGCAAAACACATCATAGATATGTTTTTTATGTATTTGTATATATCTGAGACCCATAATATATGCCTAAAAATAGCATGATAGGAGATCTTTAACCTCTTAAGCCCTGAGCCTGTTTTTCAGGTTTCAGACTCGAAAATGCCACTAACACAACAAAGACTATATCTTCACTTCTAAAAGGGGTAAATTAATAATCTTTTTTCTCAAAGCAAGGTTACATCTGTGAGTTGGATGTAGAAGTGTCCGAATCAATATAGATGTTTTTATTTTAAAGTAAATTCATATGGAACATAGTAAAAACATGTAAATTCTAATCTCCGCCTAAAAAAAACATTACTTATAGAGAAAATCACCCTTGAATGATGGGCCAGTAGACTAAAAGCTTTAGGAATCCAAACTATAACATATAATAAGTACCCTGTATCAAGATTGATGCAAAACAAGTGAAATCTGACCTTTTTAGAGAGGTTTAGAAAAATAAAGTCCAGGCGGACTCACCTCTGGGTAATTTGGGAACCATCAGTTCCATTTCCATTTTATTACTTTGAATTATCACTATAGGTATTCATTCCATCCAAATACAACTGTTGTAAAAAAAAAAAAAACATACAAAATGAAGTTTGATTCCAATTGGAGCAGATTTATTTCAAACATTTTACAGATTTATTTCAAACATTTTACAGATTTATTTCAAACATTTTACAAACACACTATACAATAAAACCACACTCTAGATAGGTAGACTTTATACTTACCTCCTGAATGTAAAACGTTATACTTACCTCCTGAATGTTACAATATTTTGGCATGCCACTCCTGGTAACAATTATTTTTGATATTCAAGCACAGAGGGACCTGGCACTTCACGCAGTGCCAAGGTGTCTTCACCCTCTTTTTGCCAGCATCATGGCAGTTCCTGCAGTACTTCCTGATACGGACATCTTTCCCATAAAACATGGGCCCGCATGTGAGTGGTGGGGGGGGGGGTGGTGGAGGTGCAGAGCCTTCAGCATATTCCAACATTTCTGCAGCAAGCTGCTCCCTGAAAGTCTTCTGTGTGTGTGGCTTTGTCCTGCTGGGGTCACCCTTCATCTTGTACAGCTCCTTGTGGAGAAGGAAGCTGTTCACAACTGCAATGTCCATAAAATGGTAAAAAAAAGTCTTGTACCATTTCATCATTTTGTGGAGAAAGCTGTAGTACCCGATCAAAGCGTCAGACACATCCACGCCGCCCATGCTTCGGTTGTAGTCAAACACAGCGTCAGGAACGGGAACAGTCTTTGTCTGCCACACACCAGCCTGGAAGTTATATGGCCATTTCTTCCTGCAGTCGTCAGATCGGTAGTGAACAGTGACGAGGCCTGAGAAAATTATAATAAGTTGAGGAATGTGAGGGTGAGGCAGGTGTGGGCTGGGTGAAAGTAGACAATGGTGAAGCCATTTCATCCTCATCTCCATCACTATGAAAACAAATGTGGAAAAACAAAGAGATTAGATTAATTCCTGTAATTCCTGTTTCCTTGGCAGTAAACATGCCATTTTGAGTGTGTGAATGCAATACATTTAGTGACTATAGATGAACACTGGCCTATACTTTTAGTAAATGTAACAGACAAGAAACACTATTTTTGTAAATAATCCCTCTAATTCCTGCCAAACATGCCATTTTGAGCGTACATTACATTACATTACATTTAGCAGACACTTTTATTTACTATATGAATAATCGTACACCAAATAAATAAGTAATTGATAAAAACAGAGAGATTACATACCTTTCCCGTGGTGGAATTTCATCATCAGAGTTTTGATTGATTGATTGAAAAGTTTATTAACAGCTTGTATATTGGGTACAGTACAGTACAGCTCAAAACATACAATTGTTAAGGGGATGCAGACCAGAGAAAGACTTTCGTCTTGTTTACATCAGGGTCCCCCATTTCCAATTCATCATATCATTTAAGACATATAAGACATATTTGACATACAGATGGCTTATTTACAATTTACATACAGGTGTTTTTTTACATACAGATGGCTTATTTACAATTTTCATTTTAGATTTCGTTCTAATACATCCTAACTGGACATTTAAGACATACCAAGTCTACAGATATACAGTTAGTAACAGAGTATAAAATGCGAGTATATACATAGATGGGGGGGGGGAAGCTGTCCATTGTACGACAGGTTGAGATTTGTACCATTACCGGGGCCAGTTTTGCAATGCTCTCCCCCGAAGGTGCTCTTTAAGAGAGGTTTTGAAGGTAAGTATAGTTTTACTTTCCTTTACAGTTGTGGGAAGAGCGTTCCACCTTGATGTGGCATAATTGCGAAACGTGTATTCCCCCTTTTTTGTGCCAAATCTGGGTTTTACATGATTTGTGGAGCTCCCTCTGGTGTTATGATCATGGTATTCCTTGACCTTTGGGAAGAATTTTGACATGTACATGGGTACCATAGAGGTGTAGTGGATCTTGTAGACCAGGCCCATTGCAAGTAGCTGTACTCTGTCGTCTACTCTAAGCCATCCTAGGTTGTCAAAGTGGGCAGAGGTGAGGTGGGTTCTAGATGAAAGGTTAAGCAGTAGTCTGACCAGTTTATTTTGCGATGTTTGAAGTTTTAGCGCCTTGGAGGTGCTATGGTACCATGACGTGCAAGCATAGTCATAGTACCCTTGAATGAGTGCTCCTGCCAGAGTTTTCAGGGTGCTTTTGTTTACCAGAGAGGAGATCCGGTATAGGAATCTAGTTCTTTGATTGACTTTTTTTATTACATTGGATGCCATTTTGTCACAGGAGAGGTTTGCCTCAAGAATAGATCCTAGGTATGTAATTTCCTTCTTACTAGTGACAATAATGTCACCCACTGCAACTGAGAAGTCGTCGGATTTGCTGAGATTATGTTTCGAACCGAAGAGAATGGACTCTGTTTTACCCAGGTGTAATGATAATTTATTATCGGCGAGCCAGGTGCAGATTCTGCCGAGCTCGGAGCTGAGGGTTTTTTCAACCTGCAATCTGCTCCTGTCAGAGACCAGCAGGGCTGAGTCGTCCGCAAACAGGAACAAGTTGCAGTCACATGCTGATGACATGTCATTTGCATAAATTAGGAACAGTAACGGACCTAATATGCTTCCTTGTGGAACACCACAGAGTCACAACGCTCCGGGTTCCGTTCTGGCTGCAGGAGATCCTCGTCGTCTGACTCAGAATCAACAGGTAACATATCTGCATCGCTGTCAACATTAGTCACAATTTCCATTGCCTGTAAAGTAGTAAGCATCTCTTTCCTGCAAGCCATT